AGTATATAAATAAATTATCCGGACAACCCCGGACAATTGATTTACATCAGCCAATCACACGAAAGTCCTCCTATGACGTTAGACGTATAAAAATTGTCAGCTTAAAAAAATCTAATGGCCAAAGGAAAGTCTAATGCCTGTAAATATATTATTTTTTATTTGTATTTTCTTTCATAACTAGACAAACCTGCTAAATTTTATATTTACTCTAAGCTTCTTCGACCAAGCAACGTAAGGTAGGAATTTTTATATCTTTTCTTTCTTAAAAGTTATCGATAGTTTTGCAAGAAAGAAAGACGCGTCTGCGGTAGACTGTGTTCTATCGGAAGCCAATATTTGGCAAGTCATCGTCCAGTGGGTGGCCGGCTGACTTCTGGATGCAGAGTTATTGGGTGTTTGTTGGGCACGCAAGGCGTCTGCGGTAGACTGTGTTCTATCGGAAGCCAATAATTTGGCAAGTCATCGTCCAGTGGGTGGCCGGCCTTGAATAAACAACAGCACACTTTAATGGTTATTTACTGACTTTAATCAAACAATGTACTCAACACTTTTGTTAAAATTTCCATTTATCGAGATATCGAATATGAAACCTTCACGCAAGAAAATGAAACAACGAAACATCGATTGGATGATTGAGTGTAATAACCAAACGCCAATAGAATTCTTTCGTTTTATCCAACCGACACATAAAGCCCGTGCGATCGAAAAGTATGGAAAAATTCTCGATGAAGCTATCAGGTTGTGTAAAGCTCCGGACAAACAGTCGAAACTAAAAAACATCAAAGAAACCGTTAATGTACATGATCAAATGTTTTGCCTGAAGCATATTGGGAAAAGCAATACTCTAACATCTGTTTCTTTTTTCCACTAAATAGTGTAATTCGGATTGGGATGTGTGGCTGGTGGAAAAAAGAGCGGTATGTTTAATATGTTTAATCATAAACTTTAACAAGGTACGTGGCTAATAATAATACATATCTGCAGATGTCGATTCGTGGTGAGATCCACGAGACAAATACTGAAGTTCATAGAGAATTGAACGTGGTCGTCAGAAAAAGAGTAATAGAGCCGAACGAAGAAAGCTTGCGAAAACGACAAAAACCGTTGGATGGTAAGTTAATTTGTAATTATTCACGAAACATTTATGTAAGTCCTTATAAACAATTATCAATTAAAGAAGAGCAAGAGAATGAAGAGTATGACAACGAAGCAGAATCTTCAAGTAAGAGTGAGGTGCATGATTTTAATACATTGATTGATATGATATTGAGTATTGATGCCATTTATTTCTAACTTATCTTTATTCCACTACTAGGATGTATCATGCGAAAACACAGCTGAAGACCCTGTAAAAAAAAATTTTTGAACATATCAGGCAAAAAACCTGGTTTTACTTTAGCAAAAATCCGTTTTTATTGCCGGAGTAAAAATGGTTTTTAAAAGATCTGACATACTTCCGTTTTTTTTTACTGGATGAAAAATGGATTTATACAAAAAACCCAGTTTTACTTTAGTAAAAATCCGTTTTTATTGCCAGAGTAAAAACGGTTTTTAAAAGATCCGACATACTTCCATTTTTTTTTTACTGGATGAAAAACGGATTTATACAAAAAACCCAGTTTTACTTTAGTAAAAATCCGTTTTTATTGCCG